TGTACAATGACCATGGAAGCTTCCAGTGTCACCAGACATGCTGACACAAGGTCTGATTTCCCATCCTTATCCCAGCTGGTGCAAACTGACTGCTTGGACTTTGAGTGGGAAATCTTGCCAAAAGCTCAAACAGGTAACAAACATGATCTTTTCTACTAGAAGACAAATGTACGCCTGTGTGACTGCCCCTGGAAGGCTTATCTAAGGCAGTGTAGGAGGAAAGGCAGTGATCCAGGGCCCTCAAGTCTACCTCAAATCATGTCATTTCTAGAAGATAGTGTATCTCAAGGACTTAGCTCAAACTTGCTTCATAGACTGTCTTGTCCCCTATCAAAGGATTTGCTCTGTCTCAATGCCCTAGCTTAATGTCATTTTTTGCAGGGTGGTTCCCTCACACATCCTCCAGCTATACACTGTTTTCCCTCCTGGAGACTACACTTAGTATTGCAAGCCCTTGCCAAAGCTCCATTCAAACCAATAAGAAGGGTTCCACTGAAGTTACTTACCGTCAAGGTGTTATTCTTAGTGGATGTTATGTTGGCCTGATGGGTGTCAGAGGTGGGTGTACTTTCCACAGCTAAGGGCTTACAAAGCTACACGGAGCAATGTGGCAAGTTTAGAAGAGAAATACTTTTCTCTTTATTTGTGAAGTACACTTTGGATAGGAAAGAATAGAAAATGATAAACTTACTAGCTAAAAGATGGAAGTGGTGAGAGGGCCATCTGCCTCATGGTGCCAAGAGAGGACAGCATGTCTCTCTCTCGGTGCGTGCAGGGAGAGAGCTTGTCTTCATCTGAGTGAAAGACAGGAAGGAAGGGGAAATGGTCCCTGAAAACACAGTCTGCATTTCAAAGGGGACAGTGGCAGAAGAGTAAAGGTCAGTGTGTCTTTTTAGCTATCTAGCCTCTCTTGCCACTCAGTCTGGAGGTCTGAGACAGGGGACATCACATCTGGAACTGCCAATACTCTGTACTGACCTCACCTTTATGCCAAAGGTAAATGCACTGCTCATCAGTCCTCATCCCGCCCAAAAGAGAAGAACTGGCATTATTTGGATCCTAAATAAGCTCTACAAATCTACATTAGGCACAGTAAGTCTTTCAGAAAGTCGGACTGTCTGTTTGTAGCCCTTCATCCTGTGATCAAGGCAAAAGGTCTCCAATTTACCCTTAACACGTGGATAAGGAAATGTATAGCAGTAGCATATTCTTCTTAAGATCTGCAAGCACCAGAGAGCATTACATTACATTAAATAAAGAGTGCAGCTACTTTGGCAGTAGCTTTCAATACAAATGCCTCCATTGTCAGCACCTGCATGTTGGCCACTCAGGCATCAGTGACCACATTCATTATGCATCATAAAATGGACTCCATTGCCTCATCCAATGCAGCTTTTGGCTGATGGGCCCTACAACAGGTCATGGGACTTTAAAGGGTAGGATTGGTTGGTGGTTCTCCCTCCTGTTTGAATGAAGTGCTTGGTAAGATCCCAAACACCTCGAATGTCCTCCTTTCTTCAAGTGAAAACAGAAGATTGGACTTACCATGAAGGTTCCTTTTACTTGAAATAGAGAACATTCCAGACCCACCCTGATCGATGAGATATCTGTGACTTGTCCGGGGAGACGGTATGGCTGCCAGGCCAACCTCAATGCTGACATTCTTCATTGTTTTTCGTGTTTTTTCCCCAAAACAGTTGACTATTTTCCCTGTTCTGTTCTTCTTTGTTTGTAGTCCAGTTGAATAATATCCCCCCCCCCCCGAGTTAAAGACCAGGTATTCTGGTCTCTGGGAGACACACCTTGCAGCCAGGGACTGAGCTGTGGAAGTTTCCGAAGTGAAGGTGGCAGGCACTCCCTTCCTACTGAAGACAGAAAACAGCAACCCACTTCCTGCCTTCAGGGACTCTGGGAAACAGAGTATCCAAATGTCTCAGAGGGTGCGTTCAGACGCGGCGTTTCAGCCGGCATAAAAATGGCGGGCTGAAACCCGATCACACTTACCTCCATTTTGCGGCTCCCATCGGTGTATGCCCGCTCACACACTGCTGGTGTCGGCGTTGTGTTTTTAAAAAAAATAAAAAACAAAGTTTGAGCATGCGCATAGGCAGCCATTCACAGAATGGCGATCTTTGTGCATGCTCAAAACACCCCACATTACATTTAAACTTTAAAGGTAAGGACTTACTGTAATGATTTCATGTTTAACTCTGTGTGTGTGTCTTTAAAAGTTTGGTTTGCTTGGCTGTGTGATAATCTAGAGTGCTTGAAACCGGCAAGTGGTATGATTGGTGAGTGACAGAGAGGGGGCGGGGTTTTGGAATGGATGCTGTGTGGATGATTGGAATGTCTATCTGGAGTGACTGTTAGAGATATGACTGTGGATGAAGACAGTTGAAGTTCAGTTAAGCTATGTATAGGAGTTGAAGGAGACTCATCCCTGTGTGGGATAATTTGGTTCTGTGTAGTAAAAGAGTTAAGCAGTTTGTTCGTTTTAAGGTCTGAGAGAGAGAAGTCTTGTGCGTGTTATGAAAAGTTGAAGTATAAAGAAACAGTAACCGTATGTGGCCTGAAGGAAAAAAGTGTTACTAAGTTACATGCCCAGATCCCTGTCAGTAAGAGAGAAAAGTGTGTGAAATATTAATAAATCTACTTTTATTTAAGATACCAGTACTAAATCAATTCTTCCCAGGAAACACATAGTACCTCGAACGCCTAAAACCCTCGACATACCTACCCAGAAATAGAGAAAGCATAAAGGTTTGGAAATCCTTTTAAAATTTCCTGGTGGCAGCCGGATATATACAGTAAAAACAAAACAGAAAGAACATTTTAAAGTAAACCCAGACCTCCCCAGTTAAGGAGTCGTCACACTTACCTTTAAAGTTTAAAGACCAAACTGGCCTCCCTGAAGTCCCGGACAAACGCTCAGGGCAAAGACATATCGCTCAGTTTTTTTAAAAAAATGGCGGGGGGGAAACGGAAGCCTCAGGCTTCCGACGGAAATGCCTAGACAACGGTGGAGAGCGATCAGAGAGCGATCAGACGGAGGGGTACATCGAAAGCAACCGTTGCACTCAGTATACCACCACTTGGGGACCTAGTGGCAGAGTGCAACGGTTTAAAGGGATTTACAACAGTTAGGGACGGGAGGCAGATGTTCACCGTCTGAAAGCCGGTAAGTACACCGGTTGGAACCGGCACCTATACCGTTGTAAATCCCCCGTCTGAACGCACCCAGCGTGTCCTCCTCTGCTTCAAGTAAGAGAAATCTTCACAGCAAGTGTAGTGTTCCATTCTGTATTGCCTATAGTTTAACTTTATTGGTAGTCATTTCTTTCTTTAGTATCTTGGAGTGCCTCCAGATGTCAGCAGCATCAGCAATGTAGCAGCTTATCTTTCTGATGTCTGTCCATGACTATAGTTATAGGCTTTAGTATACTGAGCATCTGTTAAATCCAATGGCTGAAACAGTTCCATCTATTTTGTCAAAAATTTCATCACAATTCGGAAAGAATAAGCCGGTTCTTAATGAATTTTTAATTCAACCAACCACTGAACTCCATTGCATTTCTTGGAAGGGGAACTGGATTTTTTTGGGTATTTTTTCATATGTGTGTGCATGCATGTGAGTGCACCTGGAAGTCATGGCGACCTCTGGTGACTGAGGGGGCCTGGAGGATATTCAGAGAGGTGGCTGAATAAAGCCTGCCCCCCCACCTGCCACCTCTGGTATTCCAAGGAGGTCTTCCATCCAAGTACTTGCCAGAGTTGACCTTGCTTAGCTTCCAAGATCAGACTTGCCTGGGCTATTCAGGTCATAGCAATTCCATTGCATTTCTTGCGGGAGAATTTCTCCTGTTCTTTTAAATGAAGTGGAAGTAAAATCACTGTTATGAAAGTGTTCTCCAGGAACAAATGAAAATGTTAAAATTGCAGAAGTACTTTTTATTTAAAATATGCATTAAATGGGCACTACAGCCTTTCAGATTAGGTTTTTAAATCCTTCATTTTTCTCTTTTAGATATCTGTTCAGCTTTGCAATGTTTGCAGCATTGTCAGTGACAAAGTTGCATGTATTTTAGTCCAGTTACTGCCATCACTTTTAATACTCTGTTTTGTAGGCATTTCCTGATATATCTCTAGTTTCTGAAAGATATACAATCCCATTTTCTGTTGTCACACAAGGACATATTACTGGATCATTGTGTACACTGAGGGCTGTAACTGGCAAACTTCCCATCAACATTCTTTGTACATGGTCTAAGTTCCTTCTTTTATAACATATCTAACAATCTTCCACTGATGTCTGCACTAACAGGTAGAGTGTGGCCTGGACGTTATCCTTCAACCATGTCAATGAAAGGTTTAACTATATGAAAAGGAGAATTTATGGCATAAATGAACCAAAGAATCTTTTCACCTATGTTATCTTGGTGTTCCTTAAACTCAACCATGTTAGGTTTTTTTGATGAATGAAAAATCTCTGACTTGTTACTAACAGTTTGTCTGAAGCACGTTTAGTTACAACACTGGTGCTGGGATACCTGCAGAGGACTCTGAAGTTGCAGATATTCATAATCTGTTGTGCTTCACTGGTGTCTTTTGTTCACTTTTTCCCAGCAATGCACTAAGGACTATTACGCATACTTACTTGAATAAGCCGTATTGAACTGACTGGAATTTTACTTCTGTGTAAATAAGGATAAGATGGGGTTGTATGCATTTATTTCTTATGGAGAAAATATAGGCTCATACCCATAGGTCAGAATGGTAAAGCCATAAATCTCTATTCCCTATATATTTCAGCATAAAGTTCCAAAGTTAAAGGGGCATGTAATATAAAGGATGTGTCTTCCTCTTAAGAGAATAAGTAAGTCTGGATTTCTCTTACTGCAGCTTTTTTATATTGTTGCAATCTAAGCTTTAAATGTAGTTTTAGAATAAAAAACAAACCATAAGAATTAGCTTAAAGAATTTTCTTACAACACAGAAAACAGCAGTACCATCACAAAGACCTTAAGAACTTAATTGTTAAATAATAAGAGGCATGGAAAGCATCTAGAAAAATGTTGACTTTACAAACCAGTTGATCCAGATTGTGCAGACCTGTCCACATCTTTATTCACAAAGTCGTTTTCTTCCTATTAGCATTTTTCTAATTCTTTCAGCCAGTTCCTGAATCTTTGTCCAACGTAAGCTTTGCAACACATTTTTGTTTTTTTACCCAGAGAAGGAATTTCATCACGATAGTCCCAAATCGAGTCTCTCTTTCATCCACCAAAAGCCATGACAGTTTTTCTGCAGCATACAGGAAGTTGAGCACTGATTGTCATCTTCCTCTCTTTGTAGTGTGTTTTTCTGCCCCTTTCCTATATTGTATAACTCCTGTGGTTTTTCCCCCCAGCCTTCCTCCCCTATCAGCACAGAAACCAAGAAACTCTACCTACAAAAGATCTTGCAGTACATCTCACTTTAATTCAGGATCCTTACAAGGTATTTAATTTCAAAAATATTTATCAGGACACCACAGGAATTAGGGAAGGTGTCCAACAATGCAACCCTAAACAGAGTTACTCCATTCTAAGTACATTAAAGTCAATGGGCTTAGACTGGACTAACTCTGCACAGCATTGTACTGCAACTTATTCATTTGTTCTGTACTGAAAGCGTGGTGGAAAACTCAGCAAGACAGTAATAAAAGCTGATAATAGGTTATGGATGCATGGTTGGTGATCACTGTATTTCCAGCAGGAGTGGTGGGTATGCAGCCAAAATGGCCAGCTGGGTTTGAGTTGTGGAGTAAATTTCAAAAGAGCTGCCATTTTTGCAGAGGGTTTCTAAAACAATCACTGTTGGCTTCAAGGACCAGGGCTGGATCCTCTTGTCCAGCTACAAGAGATCTGTTGTTGTCTTCTCATTGTTTCTTTAAGCAAAAAAAGGTTTTCAAGCCGTTTGCCATGTAGTGTCCCTGTTCCACCATCAATCCCTTACAACACTCAGATTCAGAAAATCGTATACATCTTTATTAGAAAAATCACCATATTTCTAGAAGTTTAAAATGAAGCATTGGTTACAAGAGAAGAGGGCCCTCAAGCAGTCCATGCTGCACATGGTTTTCAATGCGAGTGGAAGGCCAATGATTTAGTGGCCTCTGGCAGAATTGCACGCAAGACGCACACCTTAAAAGGGTTGGGGGGGGGAAGTAAGCAATCACAAAATGATCTTCTCAACATAATTAGCAGGATACAGTCCAACCTGACCAGTCTGAAGCCGGCCTTTGCACCAACCCTGTTCATCTTCTTCACTGATTTTCATTAGCTCTTCGCCTAGAGATTAAAAAAAAGACTCAGAATAATTGAAACAAAGACCCACCAACCCACTCTTATCTGTTGACCAGGTGTTCACTAAAGTGTCATGAGCATATTCTTCCTGCCTTCCACAGTTTCCAGCACATGTACACCATGGGCAGAAATAGTAAGCATTGAACAAAGTCCGAGGCTTTCCTCCAGCCTAAGGAAGGTTAGTCAGTTCAATTTAATCCAGTGAGTCCCTTTCCAAGTATCATCAGTGTCAGCCTCTATTCCCACCCACCCCAGCCGTTTTACAGTGGGTCTGTTGCAACAAGACCATTCTACAGAGGAGCATCTTAGAGAAACAGCTCTCAGGCAGCAACAGCTGGGTTCAGTTCCAGTATCTTTGTGCCTCTTCAATTGGCTACAGTCCTATAGAGTCAGCTCTGGCATTTTAAACAGCCATGCAGGATTCACACACAGCAATTAGTGACATTAAGGGCTACTTGCAAGAGGCACAACACCATCCTGACCTCTGCATGCCACAAAAATCGCAAGACAACCACCATTTTTATCTCCTCCACTTTTGAAAGGAAATGTCGATTTAAAAATAGTACATAGTGAAAACAGCAACAAGAACTTGCTTATCTTTTGGACCATCAATGTAAGCGATTGGCCTTACTTAATATGGAGGCAAATTATGATACCATTTATATAGAATAAGTGTGCTTCGATGATGTGCCAACCTGAGTTTCATAAAAGAGGGAGTGACCAAATTAAGCATATGCTATGAAGCCTACAATCCAAACAGAAAATGTTGAATTATTCTTTGACAGGTATACTAGTTTTACAACAGATCACTTTCAGAACAGGAATATAAATAGCTCAGCGCCCCTCCCCTTCTTATCTTTTCCTGTGGGAGAAGATGGGAAAGCATCTTGTACTTTGGCACCCCCAGTTCACTCCAAACCATGCCCACATACTGGCAGAACTTGGTGTGCACAACTAGCAACCAGGAATTATTCGGTTTTATTCGCACAGTCATCTTTGACCTTCATGCTAGAGATTCCTGTGGTACTCCATCATTTAATAATACCAACTAAGCAGCTGAGACATAGGCTTCATGCAGTCCCACTGCTGGGTCTAAAAGATTTTAGTACCTGCAAGAAGAGAGTCAGATTTTTGCAAAAATAACAAAGTTAAAGCAGGAATAAAAAGAAAGATGTTCCCAAGATCCAGATGGTCCCTTTTCACTCCTCAATATATTGAAGCTGTCAGATACAATTCTTACATGTTCTTCATCTTCTACTGTACTTTGGGTGGGGTCAGATCACTAGTCACATAGCAGTCAGTCCCTTAAGGTCACTGTGGAGCCACTAGTCACACAGCAAACCTAACACTAACAACTACCATGGTCCCAGAAATCCAAGAATGCAAAGGAGTGATAATGCTCAGCTTATCACATCACTGTTTGGAATGAATGATACCTCTCCACCTAACTAGGCACATGCGGCTTACATTTAAAAGGTCACCTTGTGTTTAGTAGCCCCCACCCCCCACCCCGATTCTAGAGTTTACTTCTTTTTGTTGGAAGCTTCCTAGCTCGAACTTGCAGCAGGCTTGGAGATCATTTCTTGAAGTCTGGTTGTGCCTCCAGCAGTGTGAGCAAGTAAAGTCACTTCACTACACTAAACACTGGTATATTTTGACAGAACTAATTTTTTTCTTACATGGAAATATGCAGGAGAATAATTTGTCAGAATTTGTCCTGGCTATGCACGAGAAGACTCAGGAATGGCAGCTTAGAGAGACTCCACTGCTGCTTTGCAGATTATCCTCTCAGCCAGATTGGTGCCTTTCCCATAAACTTTTGCTTTGGGGGAACAAACAATACTTCTGCATTTCACTACTAAGCCACCCCTCTGCAGTACCCTTAAGCACAGACTGCCAGCTCCTTTCCTGAACAGCTCAATAAAATGATTGTGTAGGATTCTCTCAGAAACCTGGTGAGAAGAGTCCAGGGCCCATCCAGATCTTAAAGGGAACTTTCCATCCATCAGCCCAAGAGAAGAATGGCAGGCAAATTAGAAGGTTAGTGCATCTGTACCTGCTTTAAAGCTCAGCTCATCAGCCTCTTGTCCTGCGTAATCATACAGTGCTCGCACCCGTACGCCTGGTACCTTTATGTCCTCCTCATGCCCATTGACCTCCAGGCACTTCTTTGGAGTGTCCTCATCTGACCACTCCGAGATATCTTCTTTGCCCCCACTATAGACATTTATGGGGAGAGGGAGAATGAAAAGAAAGGTAATTTAAATGTTCACAATAAAAATGTGCCCACCCACCCCATGCAAATCATGCAGTTTTCTATGAGTAAAAGAATACTTTAAGATATATATAAGAGACAGGTGGAAAAGGTGAGTGTCTTGTCTGAAAAAGATCAGAAAACTAGCAAGATGGTAAGCATTGAACAGATCCACTTATCATGTAACTTTAAGCAAATCTGGTGAAGATCAGCACCACCATAACGAATGCCAAGTGGTTCCAGATTAGGGCTGAGCGGCAGTATAATCCATTTGGAGAAAAAGGGAGTATGCTACAGTGCTCATCTCCTTAACTAAAAGGCAAGAAGATGCTACAAGGAAAAGAAAGATAGGAGAGAGCCTGTATACAGATCATTCCTGGAGAATCTTTATACTAACTTCATACATGCTGAGGCCCTCAGGGTATCATAGAGGTGGCTGTTTTGCTCTTCTCGGTGTGAAAACCTGTGGATTGGCAAATAAGGCCTTTAACTGGGAAAGGCAGATGAACAGCTCAGTGCCACATTTCTCTGCTTCTAGTGCCAAATGTCATTTATGGCAACGTAACAGGTTTTACACTGATGAGCTCTAAGCTAGGAGTAGTACAGGAGAGCAGAAATTCATGTGTCTGTCTCCACATTACAGTCTAGAAATCCAGAAAGCCTGCAGTTACCAGCTTCAATACAGGGATACATGACCATAAGGGAAATTCCACCCAAGCACTTCTAACATTTTTAATGCAGGAAACAAATGCAGATCGAGAATCCAGACCTACTGGAGTTCCAGCTGGAAGAGTGCATTTCCCAAGGTCAGTGACAGCTGGGTGGGAATATCCTGCCAGCATCCTCACTCTACGAGGCTGTTAATGGATAGAACAAATCAAAGTATAGCTGCATCAGGGGGGAGTCGAGAGATGCAGGATGCCAGCACTGGCTGTGTCCCTCCCAGCTGGCCCCAACAAGAGACTACAGGATGCGTCCCATTCGTCTTTTACATGTATCTTACAACTTGCAAGGACTCCACTTTGGAGAACACTAATTAATAAAGCCATAAGAGGGAGACAAACATGCAAAATGTCTCCCATCCTCCATTCTCAACAATTCATATACCTTGCCAGTAGTGTTGCTTTTCCTGCTCTGGGGTTGAATGACACAAGCTGCTCCCTTTACCTTTGCTTTGTCTGTGGAGGGGTCTGTTTGACTCCATCCCCGGCTGGCACAATACTGGTCAAGGTCACATCCTCATTACTTTTCCCACTTTTCTCCTTCCTGTTGATTGGTCGCTGTGTCTCCAGAGACCATTCCTAGAAGGGAGAAAATATTTGGTCCCCAGCTCCAAAAACCTTTTAAAAAATTAAATGAATACTTTCCTCCCAACACAAATGAAAAAGATGCAAAGATTACACAAAACAGACAGTTCTAGAGACTATCACTCAGGGTTATACTAGGGAGGATGGCAGTAGGCCCAAGGGTCAGAAATGAGTCACCAGCAAATGCTTATTAAAGACGGTGAGTATGCTTTCAAGCTGCATTAGAGCCAGGCCTAGGTGGTTGTGAATTCTCTCCCAATCTGTGTGTTCCACCATCACTCCTACTGTTCTTTATAGCGTTGCCCAGCCATGCCTGGCAAGCAGTGGGAGGGTTGGAGGTTGGGGACATGAGGTGGTATGTGACATCACTGATGTTGCTACATCACTTCCAGGGATGCCCTGAAGTAAAGCCATAGGGTTTGGGGCAATTCCTAGAGCTACCCAATGTCACTTTTGGGTCTTCCCTGGATATATCGTACAGATATCAGCAAAGTCACTTTTTAACATTTTCCTTCTGCCACCACTTTGAGGGCTGCCAGTAGAATACCTACTACCATAGCAGGAGGCCCAGAAGCCCTAGTTCTTCACCTTGGGGCCAAAGAGGGTGGTTTTTTTTGTGGGGTAGAGGAGTATGGACAAAACTTACATATCCTTTCCAACCTGGCCCTAATATGCTTTAGTAGAAATTCAGTCACAGTCACAACCAGTTTGGCTTTCAGGAGATGTGGGGATGAATACGAGGGAAAGAATTCATAGGACATGCCCCAGTCCTCCTAGACACACAGTGTGTCAGCTGATTCAGGCCTAGCCAAGAAATCGATACAGCTGGACCCACAGCACTGATCAGCTAAAGAATGTGTAGGTCTCAAAGGCCATCAGCACCACCCAGGGCATGCTCTGTTTACACACACTTGAGCCATTCACATACTTTTTACAATAATGGGCTCGGAAATAAAGACTGTATTCCGGAGCCCACCATTTTATTAGGTTGCACGCACTGTGTTGTGCATATTATGCTGTATTTTTTAAAAAGCATTTTTTCCTCTAGAAGCAGAGTATTTATTCAGGTAGAATGAAAGAAGGCAACATTACACATGCTTTGGAGGAGAGGTTTTGTAGTGCATCCTGCCGGAGACAGAAATATCCTACCTCAAACTGAGGCCAGTTCATAGCCATGCCCGGCCCATGGACATTGCGCCACCACTTCAGATCCTCGTGGTCATTTGCAGCCATTATTCCCTGATACAGATCCTGGTAAAGTGCATGGAAGCTGCAACGAAGAGAAGCAGGGAGAAGGCATCAACAATTCTGTTGAGCGGCTACATTAGCATGGTGCTATGCACAATGGGACAGATCTCTATATACAGCTAGCCTTCCTGGACTGAACAACAACTCTTCCCCTGCCACGGTGGAATCCACAGGGCACAGAACTGTTCTCTCTCTCTCTCTCTCTCTCTCTCACACACACACACACACACACACACACACACACACACACCTCTCATTGGTAGACAGGTTAAGATGGTTGTGCAGATCCAAAAACATCTCCTTGAAGAAACACAAGCGTTTACACTCTGCCTCCTGGCAGCTTTCAAAAACTTGCTCCATGTCTTCCATGTAGCGAGGGTTGTATCGGTTCAACTCCTCCAGCATCTTCTCGTACTGATCCTTGCACTACAGGGAGCCAGAAAAACAAACAGTCATGAGCCAACAGGCTTACTCAGCTCCTCCTCAGTGTACGACACTAGCCTAAATTTGCCCTTTAGCTAAAAGCACAAGGGCCTGTGACTTGACCATTGTAGCAAATCTTTTGTTGCTGATTTTGCCAGAGAAGCAGGGTACAGTGGCTCATTTATCTAGCCCTTGCTCCCACAGGAAAGTTTCCCACACAATGTAGGGGAGGCACCCAGCCCATCCTCTACTTACCTCCTCCTCTCTTTACAACAGCGCCTCCAGCCCCTCAATGTCTTATCCCGAGCACTCTCTGTCTGCTGAAGGTATGCCCAAGGATAAGGCCCAAGAATCTGAACATCAGTTCACTGAGGCATTGTGTTTCCCCTTCTCTCATAGAAAATCAGTCAGCTACCAGTGTCTAAAACCAAGTTGGCCTTTGCCTCCTCCCACAGTGTTTTAAAACTCCTCCTCAGCCCAAATCCTGCTTCCTACATCAGGTACCTTCTCTGCTTCTTGCACACATTTCTCCACACGCTCCTGAAGTTTACGCATCTGTTCCTGTGAGACGGTAGAATCTGCTTTGGCATGATTCTCTCGTGTCTGTGCAGTCTTCTCTTCTTTCCGAGCAGCATGGTAATTCTTTTTTGAAGTTTCCACCTAACACAGATATCACTTTAAATATTGTACCAGACAGCTGCAGAACTGCTTTTTGTCAATGCCGAGAGCTGCAGCCTTTCCTAACAAAGAACACTTCCTAACTTGGACATCCTCCCATAATACCCACAGATGAAAGAGACTGCTGTGCTTTACACGAGCTCATCCAAATTTGGCAAGCTTTGGAGTCAGGATCTCAGAAACACCTGCCTATAACATAAAGGCCCAATACATGCAATGGCTAAGTGGCCATACAGCTTATTCAATTGCAAGACACAGCATAAACGCAATTCTTAGGCAGAGTATATTCATGGTCTTGGATGCTGCTTCCCCCTCTCACCCACACCCCTCACTCACATCTTTCAGCTTCTTCACCCAGGGCTTCTGAGCCTTGCGGAATCCATCCTCTGCTTCTTTTGTCTCTTTGAAGCCACCAATCATCTGCTTGTGGTAGGCTTCCTTCTGCCATGCCTTTATCTTGTCTGTGTCTTCACCAGCCAGGCGATTCCGTACTTCTAGATGGATCTCACTGAGCTTATCTGCAGCAGTCAGGAATGCATGCCAGGCTTTTTCCAGTGTGCCATACTGAGGGCCTAGAAGAACCAACCAAAGCATCATGGCAATGTAAGGATGCCAAATCCAGCAGCCAGGTTCAGAAACCAGCCTTACCAACACCATCAGTCCTCCAAATACTCATGGTAGGTTTGTATTCTGCTCCCCAAAGAAGTGGTGAGGGGTTGTGATTCAGTGGGACAGCATCTGCTTGGCAATCAGGAAGTAAAGAGTTCAGTCTCCAGCCTCTCCAATCAATAGGATTGGGTTAGATGTGAAAGGCCTCTCTACCTGAAACCTTGGAGAGCTTATGTCAGAGCAGACAATACTGATTTTGACAGACCAGTGATCTGATGGAGAATAAGGCTGCGATCACCGCACTAAATAATCCACTTTCAGTGCACTTTCCAACTGGACTTTACTGTGTGAACTGGCAAAATCCAGTCGGAAAGTGCACTGAAAGTGGATTATTTAGTGTGTGTGTGACCTCAGCCTGTCACCTTCATTTGTGTGTGTGTTCAAAAGCTATGCAGGAGGAGCAAGTATAGATAATGGCTATTGGCCATGGGTCTACAAGTGTACAAGTGATCAACACTGCTTAAGTGTAACTAAGTGTCCTCACTGCCTATTCATCAACCTCACTCACAGCCAGTGTTCCCTCTAAGCTGAGTTTTTAGCCTCTGGCTTGCACGTTTTTGCCTCAGCTTCGGAAGAATGGCTCCAGAGCAAACTATGCAGTAGCCAAATTGCTCGCTCACAACTTTAATGCCAGTAGCTCACAAAGTAGAATTTTTGCTCGTAAGACTCCACAGCTTAGAGGGAGCACTGCTCACAGCCCTGCTGCATTGCTAGGTAAAAGGATGCTTCTGATCCCTTCTACAAGCTTTTCTGCTGTGCTTGTTGACATGCTGGCTGAATTATTTAGTCTATTTAGTCCAACAAAGAAGCCACTGGCCATTACATTTTCATACGGAGCAGTGCCTGTCCCACCTCCCCAAATTCATCCTATAAATTTCAAGGGGGCAGTCCTGCAAAACTGAATTAATTCAACAACTAGCCTTGTTGAATGCCATTTGTAAGACTTGCCCTTTGTTGCAAGACAAGTCCCTGAGAAACACTTCCGAAGTGCTGGTTCCTAGAAAGATGTCTCAGAGCAACCCTATTTATTCAACTGCTTATTTTACCTGATTGGGGACAGGGGTAGGTAAGTTAGGTGGGAAAAATCACAAGCGTCTAGTACTATCTAGGTCTACCAGCTTTCCTTGCCACTGCCTTCTTCCTTTGAAGAGCCCTTAGATTGGAACTCGGTCAGCATTCTGTTGAAGCCAGAGCCTGGATATTGGCCTTAAATCCGAGCTCAAAATAATGTTGACAGAGGATAAAAGCTCATTACGTTATATGTAATCAGATAACTTCTCCAGTTCATGAAATCAGGCTATAGCAGAAAAAATGAATATTTTGGGGAGTCCAGAGAATGTAGTTTTGGCATTAGGATGGCCTTTAGCTTGTACAACTATTGTACAACAGCTGATTATGGAGATTGGTAATAACAGTACCATCTGCTGAGATTCTTCTGTCTATGTGGGTATCCCACTGTTCTTCGCAATACCAAAATATCTGTCAACTCTCACAATTCCAAGGTATAGACGCACAATTATGCTCGCAAAATTAAATGCGTTACCATCTGCAGTTTCTGAAGGAAGTATGTTAGGGATACTGTTCTCAGGTCGATACTGTGGTTGTTGTTCAGGCAAGACAGAAACAGTGACTCATGTTCTGTTTGAATGTCCATAGTATAATGAGGCTAGAGGTAAATGGATTAAACCCCTTATGCAACAGTGGAATGATTCTCCTCCAGATATTTTAGTTACTAAATGTTTAATAGATTATAGATTAGAAAACATTCTTTTTTTAGCTTAAATTCCTTGTTCAGGCCATGAAAACTCAGGCAGCTTGTATGGCATGCCCTTGTTCTCTCTGCCTTGAATTCTTCCTTTCTTCTGCCTTACCATCTAGGTCTGATATATACTACTCAAGACCTGTAGGTCAGAGGAAAGGAAAGGAAAGGAGACATCCCTTGAAGAGGCTGCCAGTCCCACACCTGAGTGACATGCCTCTTTTCCATCTTACCCTTCTCCACAGTATTCCTCCATTTGCGGGCCCAGTCTGTTAACTGCTGGGCATAGCTCTTCTCGATTTTGGCTCTTTCCTGGAAGCAGGAGATGAGGTCATTACACAGTCTGTTGCCATCGTCCACTCGCTTCACTGTCCGCTTGTAGTTGCCAGGCTGAAATGAGAGAATACTGTCAGTCCTTTTTCTGGTCTTCCCAGATTTGTCTTCGGAGCCAGGGGCAATGCAGGCTAGCCTTCTGAACTGCAGAATGGCTCCCACTTAAGTCCCCACCCAAATTCTCTGCAGGAATACGGAATGGGAGGAGAAGTCACCAGGGACAGGGTGTTGTGCTCTGATCACACATTCCAGGCTTTATTTGGTACTCATTTCTTTGGTGCGTACAGAAGCCATGAGGGATGGACCACTGTTTCTCGGTACTCCCTTCCCTGCCCCAAGAGGAGCCCTAGTCCTTTCTTACCTCCCAGAAACTACCACCGGATGCTTCCCCACCAGTATCATCCTCCGATGACATCACTCTAGTTTCCTTGCAGCAGAGAATTTTTGCAGATTTTGTTGCAGCTGTGAAGAAACACAAACAAATGCTGTGCATGCGGCAGGAGACTGGAATTCAGCCAAGATATTGCAGGCAGGGAATCATTCATCTCAAACAGAATAGTTCTAGTTTAGCAACACTGAACAACAGCCGGGAGAAATACCTAACCAATGAGACAACTGGGTTGGTAGTTTCACATACTAGTAGCACCAATGTCACCTTAAGGCCTGCTGATTTAGGAGGATGCCATTTACAGGCCAAACTCTTCTTTCCTTAAACGTGGGAGGGATTGTGGGACGGGCCAGCCTGGGACCTGTACAGAATATATAAAGGCTCTGTTGCACCACAGCAAGCCCACAGAGCAGCTGCCTTCACTTCAGATTTGATTATCAGTCTGCAGTTTAAGAAGCATCTTGAGAAAGTGGGTGGCTTTTTACCTCTTTGGGGAGGAAGCTTCCAGCTTTTCATCTTGGGATGGCCAGTCTTACAATGTTTTTCTGATGATGAGACCACTGCTGCTGCTTATTTAAAGGAACTGGATGGTTTTGCATCCAAACCCCCAAGGTTCCAACAGACCCCAACTATTCTATGGAGGATTCCAGTGGCACAGCCATCTTAGTTTGGTACAGTAAACAAAACTGAGTCTTGTGGCATCTTTAAGACTAATGCAGACTAATACAGACCTTTCTTGTGGCATCTTTAAGACTAATACAGACTAATACAGACCTTTCTTGTAGTATAAGACGCCATGGGGCTAGACCCCACCTCATCAGATGCATGAAGCGAAATATGCAGATTTTAAATTACAGAGGGAGAAAACTGAACTGTAGGGTTCAAAGGCCAAAAAATTCGAGAGGTATAATCGGTGATACTTTCACATAAAACATGTAAGATAAGCATAGTGGACTGTGTACTACCTCAGCCTACGTGATCTCATGCCACTAGTTCTTCTTGAAGATGCTATAGACTGTGACTGAATTATATAATACTGCTAAAGATTAGAACAAAGAGGTTTCCAAGGCAGAAGAACATTATTAAATATAGTATCTTAGAACACCAGCTTGGATAACGCTTGTACCAAAAGAGAGAAAGGGAACTTGAGCTTTTCAATATGAAATCAGGAGGATTAAATAGATCACACGCAATAAAAGCCAAGGACCATGTGACAAGGAAGACACTCTCCAAATTCTGAAAAAGCTTCCTGACCTATTGTCAGGTTGGGAAATGTCTGTAGCCCTGTAGACAGTTTCTTTCCAGAACCTGGCAGTTCAATAGGGTTGCCAATCTCCAGGTGCCACTTGGAGAAAATGGGTGCTTTGGAGAGTGGACTCTATGGTGTTATCCCTTGCTGAGGTCCCTCCCCAAGCCCTGTCTTCCCCAGGCTCCACCCCAAAATTTCCAGATTTTTCCAACCCAGAGCTGGCAAACCTACAGTTCAAATTTGCATTTTCTTGTTCCATGGACATGCTCTAGGGCTGCCAAATCCCCCCGGGGGGGGGAAATCACCCCTGCCCCAGAGGCCCGTTCCCAGACGCCGGGGAATCGGGCCCCGGGGGGAACCCCGCCCCAGCATGCACGTCACAGGGAAGTGATGTTATGACGCTGGGCACGCTGGGGGCAGGTCCACGGCCCTTGTATGGTCGTGCCCCCGCCCCCAGCGTGCCCGGCGTCATGACATCACTTCCCTGTGGCGTGCATGCGGCGCGCGCGCTCTGGGAGCCGCGCAGGAGTCCCCCGCCAGAGAGGTGAGTAACATTTGGCAACTCTAACATGCTCCTAGTCTAGTTCTCAGCAACATAAATGCACTCAGTTAATCCAGGCAGTGTTACAGAACACTTCAGAAGCAAAGAAAATTTGAGAAAGCTTTCCTGTAGTCAAGAGGCCCAACACATCAACCAAGCAGATTAATCCCTGCCTCATAGTCCCCAGTGGCCCATACCAAACATTATTTGCATTCTCCTAACCATTCTTCTTCATCCTGCTACCCAATAACAAAAGGTTTTGCCTAGAAAAAAACCCATATCCAATTGTTCACTAAAACAAAGCAAGTAAATTTACGTGGTGAATCAGTTTGCAGGTTTAAGAACTCGAGGTTTAAAGTCACAGGAAATTTAGATCCTCTGGCTGCGGCCCTATCAGGAGAAGCCAGGAGAAGGGCTGCTGTTTGGCACAGGGGCTGATTTCATATCCTAGCGGGCTCGCTCCTCTGGGTATGCGCCCCATCATGATAATCTGGGCGTTTGGCAATCCATTCATTATGAGCTCTGTGCAAATGGAGTACGACTGTGTCAATGACCTACTTCCACCACTGAAGCATTATGCACTATATATAGCAAGTGCAACTTCCCATGTTTCTGTGACAGTGGGATTTCCAGTGCCACCTTACTAAGACACAGCTCATTAAGACTAGTTCACGGTTAATGACTGACAGACACACTTCACTGCCACTACTGCCCCTTGCACATTCCTAGTTATAAAAAGCTCCCCCACGCCCTCAAAAGCTATCTGCTCGCTCTGATGGCAAGGAAGAGCTCATACAGCCCAAATGATCAGGTTTTCTTTAATCCCCTTGTGGCACTTGTTTTCCATGATTCTAAGGCAGACTTAGACCTATGTGGTTAAGTCTCCCTGCCATATCAGCTTTCTCTTAGACCACAGGAAAGTGCTTTTTAAAAAAAAAAACTGTTGCCTTCCTACCATTGAACATTCTCGCTTACCTGTTAACAACAGAAACCAGCTACTAACAAAGTCAGTAGGCTCAGCCACTGCTAGAAGGGCTCGCTTATTCCTAATCAATTAAGAGTCCCATATTTTACAGAGTCTCCTGACCTGGATAGCCCAGCCTAGCCCAATCTTGTCAGATCTCAGAAGCTAAGCAGGCTTGGCCCTGGTTAGTATTTGAACGGGAGACCACCAAGGAAGTCCAGGGTTGCTACACTCAGGCAGGCAATGGCAAACCACATCTGAATATCCCTTGCCTTGAAAACCCTACAAGGTCACCGTAAGTCATCTGCAACTTGACAGCACTTTACACAGGCGTTCTACAGAGTATATAGCTTGGTTCCTCACATACCTAGATGCAAGAAGACCCGGTGCCAGGGGCTGCTGGGGAGTTTCCTGGACTCTTCCGCTTGCTAAGTGTGCTGGAAAAGGCAGAGACAAGACCAGCCTTCTCGCTAGTTTTAGCTGGTCTGCGTCAAATGTCCGTAGTCCATCTCTGTGAGAACTACAGCCGCCTGCACACCACCATGTACTTTCCCTTCTTTGTGGAATCCAGGGTGGGGCATCCCCAATATAGAAGCAACAGCTCCCCCCTGCTTTCCAAGGTGTCTCACTTCAGTAGGCTGAAGAACTGCCAAGTCCCAATGTAAGAAGATGCCTCAAAGTTAAAATAGAAGCATTGGGGTGGCATGACAGCACGGAGCCGGGGGAAAGGCCTGGTCACAACAGCTGAACAAAGCAACAGCTCCTCCCCAACCGGAAGGGGCCAAGACAAACATGGTTCTCCTGGCAGCGCAGACCGGGCATTGGGCCCAGTTCTCCCATCTGTCCCAAAGATTCATCCTTATTTCCTCTGCTAGCTAAGGCACAGCCAGGACACAAGCCTGATCACACTTGTTTTCAGTTAGGTTTTATGCTTCCCATCCATAGAAGACTCTAAGGCAGTGGTGGCGAACCTATGGCACGGGTGCCAGAGGTGGCACTCAGAGCCCTCTCTGTGGGCACATGTGCCATCGCCCCAGCCAGGCCCAGACCATCATTAAAGTGTCAAATTCTCTGCCAAATAATTTTAAGTAAATGAAAGCATTTGGGATTGCTTTCCTTACTTTGTCTGGATCATCTTAAATTAATGTATGAGTTGTTCTTTCTAAAGTAAAACCTCAGTATTCAGGTTAAATTGCTGTGTTGGCACTTTGCGATAAATAAGTGGGTTTTGGGTTGCAGTTTGGGCACTCGGTCTCTAAAAGGTTTGCCATCACTGCTCTAAGGGATAAGGCACTGAACAGTATCTGTTGAACTACTGGCCAGCTTTTTGCCCCAGGAAACATGGGGAAGGGTTGTGCAGTCCATGCCTCAGACCATGTCCTTTCCTTATTAGCATCTCTGCATAGGAACAAGCACTTTGCAATGCATTGTGTCCCCCCCATGTTGTACTCCAAGAGCCCCTCCTAAAAAATTTTTGTTGTTATATATCCACCCAATCATGCAATCCCTTCATTTCTTTATTTCTGACTCTTCATAAGTCTCAAGCTACTTGCAATCCCAAAAGGTGTTTTGCCACCCAGCAGAAGAGTTGCTACTATCAATTGGGAGCATATTTAGCACTAATTAAAAAAAAACAGAAGCCACACCTGAAATCCAGCACAAAGTGTTGACTAACCCTACAGACAAAAGCATATCATACAGGAGCTGCGCTGAGAAAACATTAAGATAAATAGTTCAGTACAAGCATCAACAGCCATAGCAGGTTACGTTTACCACAATCGAACACTATCACAGGAGCATGGCAGCCCAAGTGCCGAGTCCCATAATTCTGAGACGGGGAAAGGCATCGCTTAAGTGCCATCATGAAGCAAAGTCAGAATGACTCATTTTCCTGATAACCTATATACGTTTGTCTCATCCTGAGGTACTATTCTCTCGCTCAGATAGCCAGGGAACATTTTTAAATGCCAGAAATCACTTTGTTAAATTCAGGGACTTTTATGGAAGAGCTACTTTCTACCACAAATATAGCAGAGAATTGTGAGATAGGTTTGCACAGGAAGAATACTCTAAATGGGGGGAAGACACTATTTATTTGGGATACATGAACCTCCTCCGAGAACTAGGGCTTGACTTTACATAGGAGACATTAAAGTCCCATTGCATTTGAGCAATTTTAGCATTGCTCTGAGCCTTAAAAATGGGGATGAAGATCATGAAACCTTCAAACCCTAAATAAGAGTGGAAATTTCCCCTTGTGCAGTTTAGTCAAGAAAACCCCCAATGTTTTTAAAGAGAATAATAAACAGCTTCCATAAAATCTTCTTCAGTTTAACTGACTCTTGAATACGGGTCACAAGTTTTTAATGATCTAGCAAAAGATAGCAAGTGTGCCTCACCAACTGAATTCCTGTGACACACAAACAGGAAAAGTTATCTCAATAACTGTCACATTTAAATTCCTTTCTTTAAACAAAAAGGGCTAGAAGATTGCTTTAGGGGTAGGGTGGAAAAACCAGACCACAAATTTTCCACTCTGTGGAGCCAGAATGCTAAACAGAAGCATTTCTGGGGCTGCAGGGAGTCATACACAACAGTGCAGAGTCTTCCACTGCCAAGGGAGCAATGAATGAGACTCTTTCAGCCTTGTGATCAGAGGACCAGATTGGCTATCCCACACTGCAGCAGAGGTGGAAAATAGCTGCATGTTTTATGGTATAGTCTTAGTCTATCCAGAAAGAAACTTGAGTCAGAGGGTGGTAAGCAAAGGGCACAGAGATGCTTTCAGTAGAATTTATATCGTGTCCTCTCAGTATAAGTCACCAAGCTGATTTAATCTATTACAGCTAGCATATGCAGCTGCATTTTGCTGTGCTTTGATATCTAGAGGTGTTTGCAAACTTCTGCACAGTTGGCTCCATTACACACAGCACTGTAGAGTGAAGTTGAAAAGGAGAACACTTGAGCTACCAGACTCATACCTGTGGTCAGCAGACTACTTATCCTTTCCAAGTTAAACTTCATAATGTTTGTGAGGTAATTATTAATAGGCAAAGTTAAAGGTGACAAATTCCAGAGAAACAGCCATGTTAGTCTTTAAGATGCTGCAAGACTGCTGTTTTTTCAGTGCATTAATCTCAGACTAAAAAGTTAACTCCTCTGCAGAGAGAGGATCCAGTTTATCAGACAAGGACCTTTCAAGAACCCCCTTCCTCAGACACAAGGACATCACTTCTATTAGTATACCTATCACACAGTCTCTGGCCTATACCCAACACTCTTCATGAACCAAACTACTAATACACAACCAAATACACTGCCAAATACACAAATACACAAAGATACTGTAATACACAACCCTCTCTGAGCCTCACCGGCGAACATCTGGACCGTGGGACTGATTTTAAGATCTGAAGACAGAAAGAATGCAGATACAACGCCATTCATCTTAAGGTTACTCTGCTGTATTGTCTTTATTGTCAAGATTGTTTTTTAAGGGATTTTAATATTTTTATTGTTTTATTTGTATCAGCCTGTCGGCCGTCTCCTGTTAGCCGCCCAAAGCCTGTTCACAGGTTGGGCGGGGTATAAATGTAAATATAAATAAATAAATAAAATGCCACAACCAAGTCACAAGAAATATAGCCTTGAGCCTCCAGTTCCAAGGGATTCAGTTATTTATATGGGTTTTAGGTGACAACAAGAAGCAGGACCCGTGATACTCGTGGGGTTGGTGTATTCCCCACGGCTCCCGGGCTGCCAAGGTTTCTCCCCGCCACCCACAACAACAACAGTGGCAAGCCCTGTGCGGCTGTGAGCTGTCAGGCCCACCAGGCTTCTCTCCCCCCCCACCGCGGCAACAACGGGCTCAGCTCCTGGTTGTGGACTGCCCCAAGTGTGAAGGAAAATCTCTCTGTCCCCCGATGTGTGGATTTAGATATCCGGACAGAGGGGGCAACTTGGCTATTAGATATATAGATTTAAAAAAACCATCTTGTTCCATACTTTGCAGACATTGTGTTTCTGGATTTAATTAAAACATGTGATCATTCATACTGCGCAAAATGCAAGTGTCAATCAAGACAAAATATTAAAATGAAAAGAACTTTTCATTATTTGAAGGGCCCCAGCTCATAGCTTTCTGAAGAGCAATGCTGTCGACCGTGCTGGCACAGAGCACACACCTTCCAGGAAGCCCGGATATAAATCACGCACCTCTCTAAGTTTACAAAAAACAGAGCCACCTCCTCCCTATGCACCGCCCTTCGATACTTCCACTCAAGTGCCCAGGGCACTCTCTGGGTGTATTAGAAATATCTCCAACAGAAGCCTGTTGACAACTATCTCTGGACTCCTCCACAGTGGACAGTAGTAAACAGAGAAGTTTCCCAGAGGGTCACACTCAACCCAAGACAGCTGTTTATACTTTTGCAAGGGCGGCAACTAAGAAACAAGGTTGTACAGATGAAAAGAGTTTTTATTATCCAGTATTTCATCCACACACAACACCGAAACAAGAACCCTAGGACTCTGCGCTCAGAGGCCATCTAGTTTAGACCCTTACATTCAGCATGAATGAATGCAATTCATTTTAAAGGATTTCCAAGATGGCATGAAGGGTCCCAGAATGACATGGATTCACATAGGATATGGAATTCAGTGGCTAATCACTACTTGTTTACTCTTCACAGCTGAGGAATATTGCACTCATGCATAGGAGAAGGCGGTACACACACTTGCAATAATTCACTATTGCAGTTCCATGGTGGTGGTAATCGTCAAGTCACAGCTGACTTATGGCAACTCTGTAGGGTTTTCAAGGCAAGAGACATTCAGAGGTGGTTTGCCATGCCTGCCTCTGCATGTATTCCTAGTATTCCTTGGAGGTCTTCCATCCAAATTCTAGCCAGGGTCAACCCTGCTTAATATAGAACCAACAGAGGATTCTGTTAGCTTCCCAACTGGCTGACTGGATAATAAATTCAAAGACAAGAAATTTTTCAGTCCTCCAGTCATATCTAGGGCAAAGCGGCAGGAGAGTCCTTTATCTTCCATGCCACTTTCTATTAGGAGAGGTCCTGGCTTATCAAAGTAACCCAAGAACTGAAAGCACCACAGCGAGCAAACGTACTTAAAAAAAAACCCTTCTCACTGCTTGAAGGATAGGGAAAGCCCTAAGATTTTAACTATACAAAATGCTAGTGGAATGTAGTTTGAACTAAGGTAAGCTTTTAATACTCCGGTGCAGTCTTTATGTGTAGCTATCTAAACAGTACATACAAGAACAAGTGCTACTCACCGTCCTTCAGAGAAGCCCCACGCTTATACCCCAACCTGCAGTTATAGAGCAGCACATTTTAAGGAGAAAAGGAATAGTAGATCTGTGTTGCTGTGCTGCACAGCAGTAAGAGCCATGTGCAATGCATGTTTTTCCTTGTCCAGGGGGCACTCCCTTGAAGGAGTCACTCCCTTGGAGGAATCACCTGGTTGAGAAAGGAGCTAGGAACCAGTGTTTCCCAGCCTCTCCCATGGAATCCATTCCTGTCTGAACTGCCTAATCCAGTTTTAGAGGAGCTTTAGCCAAGTGCTGTAACCCCAATGGACACAGACATCTTTGACGTGG